CAAATACAATATAAAGAGATACAGCACCAGCTCTAAGTTAAAATATTTCAAAATTAGTGTATCTGTGCATAAATGTAAGAATTTAGATCAATCTCTGAGGATGTTATTAGAACAAGATGAAAAATGTTCCACTATAGCTTTTTAAGGGGAGAGCAAATCTCTCCTCTGCCTCACTATCAATCTCAGTGCTTGTGTCCCCAGTCAGATTAACAGGGTTATTAATTTAATACAAACTCATCATTTGAAAATAAAACCACAATACACTGATGATCAAGGCAAGCAGCACAACCACTTAAGCCCCAAAGCTTTATTACTACCAATGGGCAGTCTGGGCTTTTATTTGGCAGATTTTCCATAAATTTTCTCTCCATTTCATCTTCATATTCTGCACTGAACAACAACAGCCAGGCAGCATTTACTGCCACAATTACTGGGTCATTCTGCATGACCTCTGCCACAGGTTATCACACTGAACACTTATTTTTAACACACTGCTGCTTAATCCTTACACTTTAAGGGTCCTTTGAGTGTTCTTCTGAACTACAGCCTCTTCAATTTGAAGATTAAATTAATTAGATTTACTTCCTGGATTGTATTGCCCTGTATTTGCATAATGTGCCCTGTCAGGATGTAGTCAAGTATGGACAAGTCTTACATTCCAGGTCTGTCAGGTTGCAAAATGTAAAGAAAACCACTAAAACAGGCAAAATCCAAGTAAAGCTCATACTTCCATGTTTTGCTGGAAGGAATGGAAGTTTCCTTCTGAAGTGGAAACAGCAAACATTGATTAGCTGCTATGTGCCAAAGCACAGGCTGTACAAAAATCAACATTTTTGCAAATCTGTTTTGGAGTAGAAAGATGTAATTTGATTATGGAGCTTTCACGTGAAAAATCAGGTAACAATTGTTGAGTCAACATTTATTGCCAACTTTCCCATCACCAGCAGGAGCTGTAATTTGGTTTAGCAATGTAGAGAGATGGAGAGACACAGAGTGAAAAAAGAAATTGCTATTATTGCCACCACCAAGAATAGACTTATGAACCCTGCTGAAAGAGATTATTCTGAAAGAAAATCTGTACAGACACATATTTGCCTATAGCACTAGCACAGACATTTTAAAGAGCCAGATGCCAATCCTACAAACTTAAGTAATTTTAATACCAATTTAAGACTTTCTAGTATTTTTTTTCTTCAATAAGCAATGACTATATAAATAAAATGGGCGTAACCAGTTCTTTTAGCTGTCAGAGCAGGAAGCAAAGCTACCCCTTGCCAGTTATTGAAACTTCAAAATCTGAACAGCCCAAGGAACCCAGGACCTTGAGGCAATGTTTTTGAGGTGCTTTTGCCTCCTGAATGACAGCCAAACACTCAATTTAAAACATGACCATGTGCAAAGACAGACTGTTTCAAACCCAGACCAAAGTATCCCAAACAGCAATTTTCCCAAGTTCCACTTCTGTAGCACTAGAAGGAACCTAATGAAAGTTGGCCCTGACAACTCAAAACTGTTCTGTGCCCATCCTTAAACATTTGATCACAGCTGATCTCCTAAAAGCAACCAAAACTTTCTACCCTTGGAGCTTTGTCCTTGGGGGAGGACTAAGCCCTTCCAGAAAAGTTCTGCCTTATAACAGGCAAGTGACAAGAAAAAACTCAACCCCCAGTGTAAAAAGTCTGACCAAGCTAAAGCTCATTGAAAACAAAGCTTTAAGATGAAACCTGTACACAAGAACTGGATTAAAAATGGCTTGGAGTGATACAGTATCATTAAACAGATATGGCAAACCCCTAAAAATGGTACAAGTAAACTGAATTATCTGAATTTTAACTGATGTGTAGGAATGGATTTCTGTAAATACTGCCCCAGTTACTTCACCAGACCAGGCACAGGTCCTCAACTTAGTTTGATCACAAGGCTGGGGTTTAACCCACTGTACATCAGACAGCTAAAATAACCAAAATGCTTTTTTAACAGTATTCTGGTGATTTAGGTCAACTTCTTCATTACACACTTCAAAAGTGAGTTTAAGCATGTATTCTAAATAATGAGACCTCAAACTTTGGGAAACCCTTTACTATGCTTGCAATAATGCTCATTCATCTGCTTTCCCTGTGAATCCAATAGCAGCAGGAAAGCTGAAATGTTCCAAGGGAAACAAAGCCCTACAGTCAAACCAAACTGAGGTGGTCTGGCCTTACAGCTTTGCCCTGTGCAACTCCCAGGCAAGGAGAAGCCCAATAAAGAATGGCAGGTGCAGCTTTGGTGGGGATAAATCAAGTTTGTCCCTCATCTCTCACTGATATCATTGATAATACTGGGAGCTACATGCTCATGTAGACAGGGAAGAACCTGAATATAAAGCTTATGTCAAACAGAGAAAAGCAAAATCAGCAATCAAAATAAACCTAAGCCATTCATCCCCTTCTCCATAAGGATTGTGAAAGGATGAGTAAATGCTCATGGCCTTACAAAACCACCAGTACTGCCACTTGCTTACATTCAGAAGCAGGACTATCACAAGTTTTCATAAATTACATTATACTGATTTCAGTCAGTGGTCCAATAGAAAATATTAATAATCTGTAGCCTTATACCCAAGTTGTAGGGCCCACTAAGGCAAGGTTTCACTGATGAATTCAATGATTTGTCTGAAAATTCACAGAGGGATTTGTCTTAAAACACAATCTCCTTGCTGTGAGTTGAAGTTCACATCTTTATTCTCAGTCAGAACCCAAACACACTAATTTCTAAAACAGCTTATTTCTGTACTTCATTTCAATATTCTTTTCTGTCCTTGCCTGTGAATTTGTGAAAATCTTAAAAACTTAGCTGAGACATCATTCTGTGTGAGCATGCAATGCCATCCTTTTAAAAAAGTGTCTTGGCAATCAAAAAAAGTCTATTCTGACAACTCCCTCCTATTTCCACCTTCCCAGTTTCCTTCTGCAGAAACATTTCTGATCCCCTCTGAGCTCCAGCAGAACTGGGCACAGGAAAGAGCAGAGGCAGGAAAATCGTGCCTTTCAGCAGGGCATTAGTGATGATGTTTCCATGTGGTGGAAGGTGAGGACAGGAATCGAAAAGAAGGTTCCCACTTTGAAAGATTCAGGGCAGAGTTTCCACAGACCCCAGAAGACCACCAGCTGTATCTGCTCATACTTGGAAGGTCTCCATGAGGACAGAGAGGACCAGAGTTTTATTTATATATTGACTTTAGACAAAGAGTGAATAAAACTACAGCCCATGGGCCATTTGCAGCTGCCAAAATGGTTTGGCTCCCCTAATTTAAAATTACTTTTGAAGAAGGTGTGTGTGTATGGAGACATATATACACATACACATATTTATATATATGACAGTGTGACTGAAAAATCATTCTATGGACATACACACACACATGCATATACAACCACATACATTAATATTTAGATCCTCTTGCTATAACTAAATTCCAGTTCTTTCTCTTCTCAAAAATATTTTATTTACATGGCATCCTATGAAGGAATTTCATAGCACAACAAGCTCTGAACAGCACTGGGAAAGAATAAGCAGCCATCCCTAGTGGTGCCAACTTTTTGAATCCAACAGGTTCTGAACAGTCTACTGGGCATCTGTTTTCAAATATCCTTTTTAACAGAAGTGGCTATGCAAAAGGAATATTTCTCCAACAAAGCCTGATGCTGTATAAGACAGACTGAACAAAGTAAAACCTAGATGTTGGTGTAGCACTTCTGTTGTTTCAAACCTAAAATGTAATCTCAGAGTTATTTTTTTCACCCTCTTATCTCCATGACAGCCACCTTCCAAACAAAGCCAGTGTCATTATTCAGTCCACTTGTATGCCCCTCTTCTTCAGGACAATTGTGTGGCCTAATTTATTCTCAGTCATTCAAGTTTGGTAATTCTGCTTTGGTTTTTTTAATCCTACCTAACAGACTTTCTTTGTTGCCAGAAGTTAGCATTGCCTAGTGAAGTTTTACTAATCAGCCCAGGTTTCAACTTGTCAAAACCTTGGTTAGGTGGAGCAAATTTGCACTAGTAAAATATTCATTTCTCAGCTCAAAAATTGCATTATAAGCTATGAGGAAATTCTGCCAAGTGATGTAGCTGGATCTCTACAGAAATTCTGAGCAGTTACTCCAACTGCAGTATTCTGCCCTTATTTACCTCCTGAATTTCTGATTCACAACCTGCACATAACACTCCTGATTATGCCGAGTAGGAGCCACTCAGGCCTGTTCTAATTTGTACTGACAGTAAAATTTTTGCTCTTTAAAGAGAAACCACCAACCAGCATTTTTCAAGATTGCTTTCTTACAGAAGGACTGAGCCAGTTCCACCTCTATCCATAAAGTTTCTCTTCTCCTGAAAGCTCAGATGTGCCACTCTGTCACCTGTGTCCTCACACAGCTCAAGAGAGGCACTGAAAGGACCAGTGAGCTACAATAAATCAAGAGTGAGCTCTAAAGTTTAGGAAAAGTATCATTTCATACAAACAACCAATTCAGGAACTTCAGAAATAGCCTTAAGGTCGATTGCTTAGGTGTATCAAGCATGTCCCCCTAATCAGAGAATAAATGCCTAAAGGAAAAATTCCTTTGTTATTAACGAAAACACTTAAATCAGAATAAAATAATTAGCTGCTTGTCTGTTTAATCCTCTTGCTAAGGGAAAAAAAGCATTTCACCTCTAAGCAGAAGTGCTTTTATTCTACTGAAACCTCTCACAAGGTCAAGAATGCTGCAATCACCTGACAGAAGAGAGCAACAACAGGCCAGGTCTCACTCTGAGTCTGCCCACTTGAAGCCAATCAATCACTCATCAATAAACAATTACCAATTATAAGCAAGTTGACAGAAAGAAGAAACACCCCAAGGATTTCCAATCTGCAGAGATGCATCCATTGATATGACTAAGCAAATGTCAATGCCTGGAATAATTAACATGATGGTAATTCAGGTGAGAGCTCTGCATCTGGAAGTTTTGAGCTTTACCTGTCTTGTCTTTGCTGATGTTTCAATGAAAGGAATTCCATAACTTCTTGCTAAATCCTGAGCTTGTTTTGTGTCTACTGTTCTGGAAGGCAAATCACATTTGTTTCCTACTAGCACCATTGGGACATCTTCTGAGTCTTTAACTCTCTTTATTTGTTCCCTAAAAACAAAGAAAAAAAGAAGACTGCATTTAACAAGTATTATATAGTGGATTTTAAAACAGTTAAAACATTAAATTAACAGAGTTGAACACTATTCTTTATGTTAATCTACTGCACATGCACTGTTGGAAGCCACTAAAAAATGAATGGAGCAATCCTGTCACCATCAAGTTAGCATCTTACTAAACAAAAACAAACCAACCAACCAACCAACCAAAAGCCTGACATTTTACAAACTCCTAGAGAGGTTAATGTCATTACACTGTTTTTAAAATTTTTTTTTTTTAGCTTTTTAGCAGCTAATATCAGAATAAGCTTAACAAACTCTGGTATTAATCTTACCTCTCACATTCAGCACTCAATTAATTTGCCAAAACACTGCCAAAAGCTGTGTCTGCTGTCTTGATTTTGGTTTGGATTTGGGGGGAGGTTTTGATTTTGTTTTGTTCTTGAAGTAAAGACAGCATTAAAAATTCTGCACTTAGGGGTTTTAAAACCTCGAAGACCACTGGTCTGGCTCTCTACAGAGAGGTATTTGGTAAGAGTTTTTTCAAGCACTAGTTAGAAAGGATCTTGAAAGATCTTAGATGTACTTGTGAGGAATCTTGAATAAAAATCATTAATTTCATTACTTCTGCCTTCCAAATAATCTAGCAGTGTGTTCCTTAATTAAAATAGACACTATTTCTAGCTCTTTATGATTGTTCAGCTTCAAGCCTGGAAGGTCACCCACAGGTCCGTCAATGCACAGAAGAAATTCCAGCACTCAACTCCCAACACTCTTTGAAATAAACTGTGAGGGTCTTCTTGTGCAAATCTGCAACTCTCTTTAAAAATAACAATTCCTCATGAAAACCTGTATGCTCCTTCTTCCCCTTACACCAACATCTTTCTTGCCTTTTTCCCTTCCGCCTCTAAACCCACAGGAAACCCATCTGTGATATTACTATTATTATTATTACTACCTAACTGTGGATAGATTAACATGTGTTTGGGACTAACCTCAGGCTGATGCTGATAAACTCAGTGATCTTTGGTGGAAATTGCATTGGCTTCTAACAGAATACCCAGGGAGAATTCAGGATAACAGTAAGGCACTAAGTTATAAATGATCTGCTATAGTAATCACCAGAGACTGCTTCTATTTCTAAATTAGTGTAGCTGACAGAGAAAGCATGAGTTGGAATTCTTAACTAATTCTTTCAAAGAAGATAATATTAAGAAATTAGTAAAAGTTGGTTTTTACTGGATTTTTGGAGCTCTGGTTTTGTGTGTCTTTCTCAGACACACACAAGTTATTCTTCTCACAACACCCCCAGGTATTTCCCCCTCCAGCCCCAAACAAAACCAGCAATTGACATTACTGTCTGTACAATTACAACAGCTTCAGTTTTTCCACCTTAGCAAACAATTTCATCACTGGAATGGATAGAATTTATCTTTGGGTAAGTCTTGACTCAGATTACTAAGTCACAATAATTTATACCTCATTTATGAGCGAGGCAGATTTTCAGATTACCCAAAATTCCAGATAACAGATGCACAAATAAGCTGCATTATTGTTAATTTTCAGATTTTCCTTATTTCATGAGAGATTGCTGTATTATCCAGAGGAAGTACAAGCCCCCTTCCCACCTAATAACAAGAGCTGGTGGATTATCTCTTCATATACACACCTATAATGGTGAATATCTTCAAAAGACTTTGTATTGTTTATGGCAAACACACAGAGGAAGCCTTCCCCTGTTCTCATATATTGGTCCCTCATTGCACTGTACTCTTCTTGACCTGCTGTGTCAAGAATGTCCAAGAGACAGGTTTCTCCATCAATTACTACTTGCTTCCTGTAGGAATCCTAGGGAAAAAATACACCATGGTTAATCACAAACAGGTAAGGTTTTGAACATCAATAAATCTGGAGATAATCAAATTATTTAGCAGCAATAAGAATGACTGAAAAGGTTTGACTGTGCTTAAACTTGCTAATTTAAATAAAATTTTATTTTAATTTAAATACAATAAAATCTACTAATTTTGTTATTTCAACCACAATTTGTCCCTCATTCTATGCTACAAGATTGCACAAAATAATAAACCAGAAATAATACACAAGTAAGACAGCTCCAAAAATCTTTGCCACTGAAAAGGAAGTGAAGAATAAAAAGCCTTCAGTGTTTGGGACAGGAAATGTGTTTTGTATGCCTGAGCAGGTGTGCATAATGCTATCTGCTGTTATCAAAGCTGAGCTGATATATTTGAAATTGAAGCTTTTCAGCCAGGACAGACCAACAGAGCCATATGAAAACCCTGATGGGCTGGTTCACAGAGATGTCAGAACAAATTATTTCAATGCTATCAAATCAAAGCTTTCAGGTCACTGACTCAAGTGGCTAAAATCTGTACAAAGTCCCACCAGCCAGATTTTATTACAGCCCTGTTTAGGTGCTAGGCCTCTGTGAGTACACAGCTTCAGCAGTAAGAAGGTGAGCATTACATGCCCAGTAATTTCTATAAACACCCCTGTGTTTGAAATAAAGCAATGAGCTTGGAAAAGGTGTCATCAACCAGCAGCATGAATTATTCCCAGTAAGCAGCTCTTGTAACAAATAACAGGTATGAACACCAGCTCCTGCTGTCACCTTTCAGCTCGAGATTAACACAACATTGCTGCTGCTCTGACACTGTACAGGAGTGAGCCTAAGCTAAGGGAAGGGAATTAAAGAATTTAAATTGCAGTTCTAGCCAGCTGCAAGGTGAATTCAGAACAGCCTTCCTTCCTTTGTACCCATTTTGGGGCACAGTACACCTACTCTAAGGCAATTTCTAGCCATTTGTAATTTCATAAAAGACTCTTTTCTCCCCTGCTGCTCATGCTAAGAAACAAGCAGGAGATAACTGTAAAAAACCAGTATTTTAAACCAAACCAACTCTGTAACCTCACATTTACTGTTAAATGTCATCCAGGCTCACAATGTCAGATAAAAGAATTCCTACTGTTTACCTTAAAGATAGAAGTTTGCCTCCAGCATGATTTTTAGACTATTTATTTCACAGAAGTGCAAATTCAGTGATCAGGTAATAAGTGGGGAAGTTACTTCAGAAACTTTTAAGCCATGTTTAAATATTGATACAGCTGAGAAACACACAAGCTCCAATGTGTTTTAAAATAGAATTAATATTCTATTTTGCTGCTTAAAGGGAAAAAAATTACAAAATCCCCCAAACCTAAGGATGCATTTTCATTGCAACACTTCCATTCACGAGCAGATCCCCCATGTCCTAGGACACCTTTACCACAGTTCTAGAAGAACTTCTTTCATTATACCAGACATATTTACAAAGCTTGCACTTTCTCTTCTTGGAATTTGACTGCTAGTTCAAAAATATGAAAAGCAGTTCTTGAAAAGCCTGTACTATTCCTTTCCATCTTAAGGACTTCAAAGGGAAAGAAATTCCCCTCAACTGAGCGCTAAACAAAAGCTTTACGTAATTTTCGTTTTAAGAGAAAAGAAATTCACTTTTAAAAACTGCCTATCATGTTAGCAGTAGCAGCAAAGATGCACCAGCATAAAGCAGAGCACAGATACAAAAATTACTATTTTGGGGTGCTTAGTTGCTTTGTCATCTGTGGGGAGAAAATCTTGGTGACTACCTAGTGATGGGATTTGAAGCAGAAGGAAAAGAAAGATGTGGGAGAGAAAACTGAAGCTTATGATTTACAGACAAAAATAATAATTTTTTTTGGCCTTTTTTCCCTCCTCCTTGCAAAACATCAAACATGAAATTCACATTTGACACTATTAAGTAAAAACAAAATGCAAACTAGAAGATTAATTCCTGATTCCTACCCAGCTTCAAATGTGAAATTCCAGTTTTTCCCCAGTATACAGTGTGTAACTTTTAAAAATTTCATTGCTCACATAACCTGCTTTTATTGGTCTTTCACAAGCCATAAAAAACAGCAAGAATTATGCTAGAGGAGTAATAATTCCATTTGCTCACAAGCACTGATAAGAAAATATTATATGAAATCTCAGCTTTACACTATATACGGAATTTAGCTAAAAAAATCACCAGTGCTTAATAAATCCCATCTAGGCAAGTAATTATTACTCCACAAAACTCCATTATACCAGAGATTTAATGCTAAAATATCACAGCTCCTGAGACTCAACCATTACTAAATATTGGTGCTTGTTTCACAAGGACACAGGTCATTTAAGAACACGGATTTAAATATCAGTATTCCTAAATCAGCGAGGGATTTGGCTAATCCAATTTCCAAACCTCTGACAAGCAGCTAGGAAAGCTGCTCTTACTCTGGGACGTTTAAAAGACGACACATATTTAGGGCTGAAACCTCCTGAAAAAGTAAAAAAGCCAAAAATGAAAGAAATGGAAGGGAGCACAAGTAAGATTTACTCAGCCTCGGCCGGTAGAGGGCACTGCCCCAGCTGCTCGGGCCAGATTTACAACGGTTGCTGCCCATTTAATTTAAAATAAAACACTTAAAATTACTTGGCTATAAATCCTTGCTCGGACATCTCCTTCAAATAAAGCATTGGACTGTGAAACACACATAAAGCATCGATGTCTGAACAACTGCAGCCACCCAAACACTCATTTTCAGTCCTCCCCCTGCCCTGCCATCTGCTCTGCTCAGATTTAAGTCATAAAGCACTCAAGCAGGCCCTGAAATTTGACGTTTTCCAATCAGGTTATTTGTTGAATCATTAGGTTTATTCCCCCAAAAAGCAGCAGCAAAATTAACACTGTAAAGGCACCTGTGATTAAGTAATTAGTGTGTTTTTTCCTCTGCTGCCCCATATTATGTCTTCAAAACAGGAGAATTTTACAAGTGTGGAGTTTCATTCTGTTAATCACAGGAAATACCTAGAATTATTCAGTAACTGTGTAGTTATGAAATATACCATGGACAACAAACACTAAACTATCTTCTCTATCTTACCCCAAATTATTCAGCATGATTATCTGCAGGGAAAAGAAATATTCTGCTGTATTGCAATGAAAGAAACAGTACTAAGTGGCAAACAACAATAGTGACACCACTAAACTATCCTAATTATTCACCAGTCAAGGCAATTTTAGCCTTATCTCCTCATACTGCCTAAAACCCACTCTACATTGTTCTTTGATCAGCATCACAACTGCACCCACACAGAAAGGACCATCACCAACCCTGCTCAACCAAGTGGATTCTGCCCCAGCATGAACCTCAGCATTTAAACCAAATTTTCATTTGTTTGCCACTCCAAATCACAGCCTGCACTTGTTGGCACTGAAATATTGCTTACCCACACGTGAGCACACACACAACCAGTTACCAGGAGGAGGAAAATACAGTTTCCATCCCTGAGGCCTCAGAATTTACAAGATAAGAACAGGATCTAGTAGACAAGAACTTGTAAAAGGAGCAGAAATGAATGCTGCTGCATGTGACAAGATGTGAACACTGGCAAAACCTATTGGGCTGCTTAATTACCAGTTAATTTGGTGTCATTCTTAAAGACACATGGATTCTGGACACAGCACTGAATTTGTGGCTGCCCCATCCCTGGAAATGGCCAAGGCCAGGTTGGACAGGGCTTGGAGCACCCTGGTCTTGTGGAAAGTGTCCCTACCCTTGGGAACAAGATGGTCTTTAAGGTACCCTCCAACCCAAACCAGCCTTTGACTCCATGAATAAAGGACACAGTTCTGGGATTTTCAGGTTCATTCTATAAGGAACTGTATTTCCATTTTATTATTTTACATTAATGTCCTTCAAATCACTCAGCTGGTGGAATAGCAAAATTTCTCAAGTGCTCCAGGAATACTGGCATTTGTGTTCCTAAATTGTTTACACAGTGACAACTTAGAAGATGGAACCTACACAGACCTTCTGCAGTGCTTAAACACACCTCTAATCTAAGAGAAACCCAAGTAATAATGAAAAAGCATCAAAGGCCAACAGCCTCCAAAGGTACTTTTGCAGAAAAAAGTAAAATCCCATTTGGCTTGTTCCTCTCAGCAAGTTTGGTGTGATTTTAGAGAGTGTTTGGGGTTGTTGTTTTAAGACTTCATATCTTAGTAATTGAAAGAGCTGCTCTGCTGGTGTAAGTCAGAGTTTTCTGCACAGGTCTAGTCACAAAACCTTCTGCAAGCAAGATGTTATTTGGCCATGCAAGAGACAGACAAGAAGACACATGGAAAGAACCTCAAGTCAACACATCTCTGTTTGTGCCACCACTGAATTTGTGCCACCTCGGGGCACTGGCTCCTCCTGCTTGTGTCTGCCTGAAAATCACTACCTACACACTTCCCAAGTCTCCATTTTAAGCCCAGATTTAAACCCTTGTGATTCCTTCAAGTGAGCCTGGAAGTGCTGGATAAACATATAAATGAAGTCACGAGATGCAGGGCTTCAGTGCTGGGAACATAAAAACCTGGGCTAAGTTATGGTGTCATTTCTCCTTTTATAGAGTCTGAGGCTGTTAAATGCAACGATCCACAGGAGATTTCAGACAACACCAGTATTTTTCTTGTATTTAAAAGGCAGAGCTTGCCTGCTCATTATGAACCTTTAAAACAGCACAACTTTAAGCTTATATACAATTTCAAACTTTGAGGTACTGAGCCATGTATTTCAAAGAACCCATTCCAGAAGCTATCTTATAACATCTTCTCTAGGTGGGGAAACACGTACTGGTGTGTTTAAAGAGAGAAAAAACAAAACAGAACAGGCTCCAATTTTTGCTTCATTCACTGAACATCCTAGGACACATTTCTCCCTGGGTGAAACAGATCCCAGCGACAGGAGCTGAGAAAGACTGGCACACACATTTCACAACCACTAATTTTCCTTCTTATCTAAGGAAAAACGTCCCATTTAAGAGGTTGCACAAAGCTATGAAGGGTTTCACCAAGCTTTTTCAAGTTTGTTCGCAAATACTTCGTCATGGAGATCCTAAACACGCATCCACACTGCCCAAGGGTACATGGCAATTAACACCATGCTTTTAATTGATCAAAACTGGTAATTTGTTACTGCAGCTGTTGTTCCACAGCCAGATGAAGAAGCACAGCAATTCTGTCTCCAGTGCAGAACAATATCTCTGAGCTCTTTTTACTATAAAGCCCTGTCCTTGTGGTAAGTATCAAAAGGAAACAAGCACCATTATTCACTGATAATCTCCCCTCACAAAAAGTATGAGATGGAAGTGTTTACCTCTATTGTGGGGTCATATTCATCCACAAAGTGATTCTGGATTAGCTGTATTGTCAAGGCGCTCTTGCCTACACCACCAGCTCCAACCACCACAAGTTTATACTCTGTCATTTTTTAGCAGACCTGATGACAAAGAAACCAACATTAAGCAGAGCTGGGCTCCCACTAACGAGGATGCTGCCGGTGCCTTCTCATTCAGCGTCAGGATCCTGTACTATTATCGGGAAGCAGCTCCCTCCCTGCAAGACAAGACAAAAAGGGATGAGGGAATGCTGTTCCTCAAACATTACACACACAGGGAATGCCGAGCGGGCACTCGGCCGACAGGCAGCGGTCACACCGAGATTAAGAGAACACGAAATAAGTATAAAAAATAAAAACTAGTAATCCCACACTAAATTAATTTAAAAGGCACTGAATTCCGGGAGAAGAGAAATGAGTATTTCGTGCAGGGAATTAATCCGTGCAGGGATTTAGTTCCCCGCTGCTTCCTCCCGGCGCCTGGCGGAGCCCGCCCGGGTTTCCCGGAGCGTCCCAGCTCCCCTCGGGATGAAGCTCACAGCCTCCCGTGCCCCGACAGGGGACACGGCGAGCACGGCATCTCCGGCGGCTTCCCCGGCACAGTTTAGGGTGGGTTTTATTAATTTTTAATTGCCGGGCGAGCCGTGCCTGCGGGACCCCCGCGGCTCCGGGGCATCGCCCGCCCCGCCCCGGCTCCCTCTGCCCCCGCCAGCGCCGCGCCCGCGCCGCCCCAACTTTCCGGGTTTAAGGATTTACGAGAGGGGGTGAGGGAAAAAAAACCAATCCAAGAGGGCTCGGGGGGGGGGGGGGGGGGGGGATTGTCTCGGGCGAGCGCCGGGTCCCGCAGGGCGTTGGCCACCTGTCCCCTCCCGCCGGGAAGGACCGGGAATGCGGCTCCGGGGGATGCCGGCGGGAGCGGCGGGGGAGCGGGATAGGAGGGGGAAAAGGGGACGGGAGGGGCGACGGCGACGGCGGAGGAAGGGGGCGCCGGCTGCGCTTCCCACCTCGAAGGGAAAGCGGGGAAGGAAGGAAGGGAGAGGGTCGCCCTGGCTCGGCGGGGTGGGGATAGGCGGTACCTGGCTGGCCGTGCAGCGGGAGCTCCCGGCACCCGCCGTGCCCGCGTCGCGTCCCTTCCTCTGCTCTCCTTTCCCTTCCCGCTCCGGGTGCCTTCCCTTCCCTTCCCGTCCCGGTGCGAAATGGCGGGGGACGGGCAGGGCTGGGCGGGCGCTGCCCAGAGAGCCGAGCACCGATACACGGATGGACGGCCGCGATCGATGCGCTCGGCGCTCCGGCGCCCCTTGCGGCAGCGCCAGCACCGCCCTCCCGCTGCAGAGCGGCAGCCGCGGGTTCGAGACCGCATCCGGCCACTCCCGTGTCCAGTCCTGGGATCCTCAGCGTGAGGGAGACACGGAGCTCCTGGAGCGGAGGCTGCGGAAGTGATTTAGGGACTGGAAAGGCTGAGGGAGCTGGGGCTGTCCAGCCTCGAGAGGGGCCCTCAGCCCTGGGTGTCCCTGTGTGCAGGGAGGGCTCCGAGCAGGGCCCAGGCTCTGCTCCAGGGCCCAGCAATGGCACCAGAGGAACGGGCAGGGACTGAGCCCAGGAGGTTCCACCTGGGCAGGTGGAAAAACCACTTCCACAGATTGCCCAGAGAGGCTGGGAATTTCCTTCACTGGAAGGATTTTCTATTCCAGAGCCATCTGGGCGCAATCCTGTGCCCTGTGCTCTGGGATGGCCCTGCTGGAGCAGGGAGGTGGCACCAGGTCCCGTCCATGGTGGGATTCCATGGGGCCACAGGATGAGGCTTGGGGGCCGGGGAGAGGCTTTGGGAAGGAGACATTTGGGAAGAGTCTGTCCGGGAAGGGCGCGCTGGAGGGCGGTGAAGGGAAATTTGCACAATTCCAGCATTTCCTCACCGTTTCCCCCTTCCCACACTGCTCATGCGGAGCTGGAGGGGAAGAGGCACAAGAGCCACCATAAGGCTCAGGACAGGCTCATGCTGAGGGGACATGGGGACTGCCCGGACAGGCAGTGCCTGGTCACAGATAAAGAGCGATTTTATCCATCATGGAAATGTCAGCTGAGGCTTTGTGGAACTGCTGCTACACTTACCAGCCAAATAAAGTTGGTCAGCTTTCAAAATAAAATGCAAGGTTTGATTTTTAGCTCTGAACAAAAGTTAATAAACACAGTGTTTGTGGTTTTTAAATAAGTTAGCAGATGCATAGTAAAGCATAATTTCTTATTAAAAGGCTAAAACCATAACTTCCTGTAACTGAAATACAGAATCATGGAATGGCCTGAGTTGGAAGGGACCTTAAAGATCATCCAGTCCCACCCCCTGCCATGGGCAGGGACACCTTTCACTATCCCAGGTTGCTCCAAGCCCCATCCAACCTGGCCTTGGACACTTCAAGGGGTAGGAAACTTTTTATGATCCCCATTCCACCTCTCCCACAAATTGGGTGTCAGTAACCTGGCAATTTTTGCGTTAAAGGTTATTAGGTAGTTTCCCAACAGCCACAATCAAAAAAAAAACCCTCACAAAAATCCATGTGACAGAGTAACATGAGATCATCTCGCAAATCAGGGTTATTAATTAGGCTGCCTCACATGAGCAGATGTAAAACCCAAAAGTCAGACTTGCTTTCAAAGAACAAGTAGCCTGGTGGTAAAACCACAAGCTTGGGATGTGGGAAACACTGAACCCACACAGCCACAGCTGGGATCAGAAGAGTATCCGGAGAGCAGCTGCTGTTGGCAGAACCCTCTCCATGAAAACTTCAGGTCCTGATGACAGCTTGTGCTGTCCTATCTCCATAGGATCTCAGTAAAATGTGCAAACAATCCTTTTGCGTGTCATGTGGAGGGAAAATGAATTGTTAGAATTCTGGAAAAAGCAGAATGCAAAGCTGCTTTTCTTGTGCACAGATTTTGTTTATAGATGTCTATTATGAAATTGCTTTTTGCTGTATTTGCATTTAATTTAGAAATATCTTCTCATGCTCATGTGTGGAGTGGTTTGAAAACAAGATCAAATAAATGAGCTGATCAAGAACATTAAGTGCCAGCCCATTCACTGCATTAATATGAAAGCACAAATGATCGAAAACCTCTTAGATTCTGTGCCAGTGTTTTTCTCTCACTTACCATGTTCATTTCAGTGATTGTTTCTTTGGTGTAATTTGCACCAAGAATTCTGAACACGTGCAAAGAGGATGCACACCCTCAGATCCCAGAACCCTTCCGTGTGCTGCAGCTACATACTTCTGCTAAGTTAAAGCAAATTTTCAATTCAATGATTTCTTCACAATGGCAATAAAATATTCCAGTCCCTGTCTTCTGGATCCTCCATGGATATGGAACATTGAGGGCAACACCAGTCACAGCTCCTTACTCCAGCAAGATGCCTCCCTTATGATATGCAGCACTAGGCCAAGTACAATCCCACATTCACAGTGCTCAGATTTGCCTGTTCCTGAACATGATACAATGAATTCAGTGACATTTTCACTCTGAGAATACAGGAGCATTCCTCACCTGTCAGCAGCTGTGGGCTGGGGGGGCAGGACATGTAAAATTCAGCTCCAGCCTGGGGATGAATAGTCAGCTTTCCCTGTTAGCACAGAGCATCAGACAAGCTGGGACAAGAGTTAATTTTCCTGTGGCATTTCCTGGCATTGAACTCTATGCAAAACAGATGCAAAGCCAGTGAAGTGTTAGCACAGAAAGGTAATGGGTTTTGTGCAAATTCAGGTTTGCCTGCTGTGAATTAGGAATATTAGTAAAGGGAATTTATTTTTAGATAGGCCAAGGGTGGTAGTGATACCTCCATTTGGGATCTACTAGCCTTCAGGTTTTACTTTTGCCTCCTCTCCCCCCAGGAAAATTAAGACTTTTAAGGAATTCCTGCCAACTTCCTTCTGCTGCTGTCTTGTTGAGATCACCTACAGAAGATTTTTCATTTTAAGTTCTATTTAGAACAGTACAAATGTGCTTGCAGTTTTTTGTCTGCTGACACAGCAGGATACAATTATATTCCCCAAGACTTTTAACTCACTAACTCTACTCAAGACAGGATCTACAAGACATTTATACAGTGAACTTAAATATATAAATATTTGCATCTATAGATAAATGTCTCTACATGTGCAATGTTTGGAATATATGAGTTTATATTAAAATAAAGGCTATAGTTCTTACAAGGTGGTGACTTTAGTGCCCTGTCAGATTTCCTGGAGTGGTCTGGGGAGCTCCAGTAATTTTACATGTATAGATGGAAGTCTAAAGAAGCTGAACTCACCCACAATATGAATACAGCAGGTATGGGCTCACACTGAAGGTGAACGTGTATTGCTCCATCATTGCAAATCTTTCAAATTATTGGATGGGCTCCAAGAAATCCATGAACACTAAACCAAAAATTACATTTCAGACCCTCAGCTATGTAAAGCACAAGTCTAGGTCCTGCTCCATTGGCTTCAGTGGCAACTTGGTTGGCCAGTACCCACTTCAAGAATAGCACAAGGTCCTGCAAACCTTCCTTCTTTTTGAAAACATGTAGGCACTAAAGGAAATGTGGATAATGTATTTTTCTCCAATAACATTAGATTTGACTTGAAAATAACATGCTAAGATACATGGTATTTGTGAATGGTTTGACTTTTGGTTTAATTCAGCTGTCTCTGACTTTTTGAATATAGCTCTCTACTAAAAATGGGGTGGGGAGAAATGAAGAGTTCAACTGTGAACTATTCTTTACAAAACTGGATGCTTCTGCCATCCCACTAATGTCATCTGGCATTAATTAACATAGCATCTCTCTAATTATATTGTCAGCATACAGCCACCAAATTAAAATACAAAGAGAATCATTAAAATTTCCCAATTTGACTTCAGCATTTCTTTTAAAGCACGATTTTTCAACTTTTGTGTACGTAGGAAATCATCCAAAGCCCGCTGAAATTAATGGGTTTCATCCCAGTGGGGCCCAGAAATGTTTGGAAAATATCAGTGGGGTGTCCCAATTGCCTCTCTACACCAAGTGATTTGATGCCTCTTTTCTGCTGTTGGCATCAGCACCCAAAACTGAGCGTGCAGGGCTGGTGGGTCCCTCAGGGGAGTGAGGACCATCTGTGGGAGGAAAAGAGGACATTAGGCACAGTGGAAGTCCCCCATCCCTCTGCTCCCTAAAAGGGACACAAGGAAGAAGGACTTAAGTAAATCTGTGGTGCCTGAGGCAGCGTGGAAGAGCAGAGGGCTGCAGCATAACCTGCCTGCATCCCAGGCTGCTGTGTTACACCAGGATCAGCTGCCCCCTGATGCTCTCCTCGTGAGTTTTGTGGCTCTTTCTTCCAGTGGGGAGGGCTGTGGAGGAGAACTGGTGCCTTGGCAGAGTGTGTGCTCTCAGGCAGGGAGGGCTCAGAGCCTTGAACAAACCCTTGGGCTCCAGCTGAGTTTGTCCTGCCTCAGAGCACCCTGTCTGTGGGTGAGAGGAGTCCGTGTGTGGGGCTGATCCAGCCTGAGGGCAAGCTCGAAGTAAAACTGGTTTAGTTTTGCCTTTTGGCATGGCCTAGAGCTCAGGCCTGCTCCCAGTGAATGGCATTGCTGCCACTTGTTTGTGCCTTCCACATTGGCACTGTCTGCCCTTCAGCATCACTGGCCTCTGCAGGCATCCCTTGGTGGTATTAAAATCTTTGGGATCGAGCTGATTTCTACCTCACCAAGAGCTTCACCTCTCTGGAGTTTGGAAAAACTGTACATCGCCCTAAGATGATCAGAAACACATGGAAAAATATTAAAACGGTTCATAAAGAGGGAAAAAAAGAAATATTTTCTTTCCAAGACTTTTACTGCTGAATTTTTACTTTGGGGGAAAGAAAGAAGATGCTTGTCAGCACTTTAGAAACGACGTTCCTTTTTCCACCTCAACAGCCCTTTGCCTATTTTGCCTAGACCTGTTAAGCTGAGTATGTTGCTACAGCTCAGGACAAGGCATGGAGAGCTAATATTTTTCAAAGAAATAAAAAATGTTCCAGCAGCAGTAGCAGCTCACGTTTTCCTTGGACAGGATGTATTTCCCCAGCTCCCCTGGGAAACTCGAAGCAGAATCCCAGGGTAGCCCTTCTCACTGACTGCTGTGCTTGGGTGTCAGCTGCTTGGGGAGTATGAGCCAGACTGGGAAAATCATTCTCTGGAGATGCTGGGCAATTTGAGGACTTAGGGAAGGG